TACCTCAAGCAGATTTCTGCATACTGTAGTACATCCGTTTTCCTTTTTTCTTTGTTCTACACAGTGAGTGCTCAATAAATTTGCAGCTGAGATCATTGGCGAGGATAACACTGGAAATGAATTACGACAGTTCACGGTGGCTTTGCCGAGCGTTGAGTCGTATACCTCGTTATCCACTTCATCTACATGAGACAATAGAACGGCATGTGGTTGACAGCGAGTAGAGGTAATCTGCGCACCAGACGGAAGCTTTACATCTGTTAGTAGATTGTGATTTTGAGAATGATGGGTCTTGACATGTACAACATCCACAAGTCAAAGATTAAGCTAATTATAACGACTAAAGCCGATTAGAAAAAAACTGTAATGCGATTTACGGTTAATAAATGACCGCGAAATTTGGATTTGCAACGTCGTGCCAGATTTAATGAAGAAGGAGATAAAAACGCAGAGATTGGCCTCTGGTCCCCGTTCTTTAGAAGGAGAAACATCGTTTCAATTCAATCTATGTTTCATTTCTACGAGAAAAGTCCTTTGTGACTGATGAAATCAAGCTGTTATCGTCAGGTTTCAACAGCGGAAGGGTGTTGTCCACATAGTCATGCCGCATTCACCATGTATGCAAGAGCAATGACTGCCGTCTATGAGATAAATATTCCATTACTGTGTTTTAATTTGAAAATCGATACCGTATACTACAGACAACGCTGTTTTGCTCTTTGAAAAAGCCCACACACGGAAAGCTACGATTTTTCATTTTGATTATTAAAATAAATTAGAATGGTCGCATGTACATCACACAGAGTGACAAGTTTCTACGATGTAAATTATCCTTAGTTTTATCAATCAATGTTAAGATTTATTTATAGTTATTGGACTGAATAAATTGGGAAAAAAGGCGGACAGTGGGGGTGTATAATAACGGCCCTTTTTCAGTTCAAACGTAAACAAGCACATCCAATAATTTGGTTACAGAATAGTATCTTTGCATTGCCAACGACGAAACTCACACCGTACTTCTGTTACACACGCTGGTATCCGTGCCTAAACTGTTTTGAATGGAACGGGTTAAGTTTTTAACAAAATACATTTCTCTCTGGAGTGCTTTTGGGCAATTTCACACTCAGGATTTGTCTTCGGGAGGGGCGTTGGAATGGAAATTACCCTAAAATAGTTTATGATATTCAAACCCCTTGCAGTATTATTTCTTCGTTGTTCAGAAAGAAATATAAAAATTGAAAACGGGGGGGGGGTGTTAAGCCCCCTGAGCGCCCGCGGGCGTGCCACTTCTTTTGGGATACATTCTTGTGAAAGGTAACATTGAGAACACTGAGAAAAACCCAAGTACACGTATTTGCCTAGGGCCCTATTGTAGCTTATGTCATGAACACACAATCACGTAAACCGAAACTACTTCTTGGAAAGGCTTGTAAATTGGAAATTAGAACCACTTTTGCATGAACCAAACTTTGCTTCCTTTTGTTATTTTACTAAACGTAAATATTTGTAACTTGAATTTATACACAGTATAAATTTCCATTGAGATGTTGATAGAAAAAATGTACACAACTACAAGTTCATGCCTTGATACTGGCCACCTCAGGATGCATCTTTTACAACGAATTCATTATTCATTATGTTTTTTTGCTGATTTCTAGTTTTAACTGCAGTATTTCCATGAAGCGTACACGGATGCGCGCACTGTAGGCTACCAGACACGAAGCGTATACCGTTACGGTCTCGTGACCCGGCGAACTGTTTCATGAATTTTTAGGGTGTGGGAGGAAAGGGTGAACGGAATGATCGGAGTCAGCAATGTGGAACGAGTTGGAGTAGCCTTCTCGCTTTCTCTGCATCAAAGATAAGACCCTATAGTGAAAATATGGCCTTTGAATAATATCCCCTCGGTGAATTCGAGTACCATAAAAGTGAATACCCCACGCTACAAGTTGAAAAGATCGACGCCCAACAAGTTTGTGAAATTAAATTTTATTGTAAAATATCTTTGTTATGTATTTTGAAACTCTTTGTTCTCCTTTTGCGCGGTGTGGTTATGTTTGTTTAATACCGTTTTGCCGACGACGCTCGGGGGCATACTTTTGTGTTTCACTGTTAGCACACATGAAGTATATATGCCGACTGCATAACAACAGATCGACATCATCAGCGTCATCCTCCGTCTCAGTGGCATCATCACCATCACCACAACGCCAAATTACGGGAGTGTTGCTTTACGACAGAGGAAAGAGGAAGCCCTCAAACATGGCCAAATCAGCGAAGTTGACGATGCATGGCTAATTACGATGCTGGCAGTAGGCTGGTGCGTAGCCGGGTGGCGTCTTACGAACTAAGCCTGACCATGGTCTGACCATCGGACACGATCCCAGTCGCCTCAGGGCATTCATATCGAATACGTACAGGCGTTTAGAAGCCGTAGTTGTAAGAGCACGTGTTTCTGCAGGTAGCATGGAGACAACTAAAGAGTTATATATCTTCATTTTGGTCGTTTTTGAGACGTTCCTCCCGTTCCTGAGAGTGTCAGATAGTTTTTGCATGGCTTTAACTTTCTTCCCAATCCCTGGAGAGGTAATTCACACATCTGTTAAAAGAGCCCAAGTATAGGCAAAAAAGGCTGCGAAAAACTCCAGCAACTCTCATTCGACATTAAAGGCGTGAAGAAAGTGTTTGCATGGCGACACACATGACCTTACGCTAATCCTCATGCTCACCTTTCTAGTCTTACGATCAAGGATCTCCAACGTCGCAGTGAAAACTCTATGCTCTTCCAATTCATAGGTAGGGGCAGCGTTTACATGGGAGACAAACAGTGCTACCAATTACGCGTAACATTGGCTCTTCAGCCTCTACCTTTTCCTTTGCTCAAGCCATGCTTCTCTATTGGGCCCCTAACACATGCACGCCCCTAACAGTCTGCTTTCCGGTCAATGTTACATAATTTTACTATACTTCACAATTATTGTCTGGTTACCTGCAATACGATTAGGTCAAGTGGCTGGCTGTAGTGCTCTGTCTGAGCAAACCGGGAGGAATTCCTCCACAGCTTGTTCCGAATTACTTGGCTAGGCTGCAGTAATACGTGATCCATAGGGTCCCTTTGGTACATCGGTTTGAGTTCGCGTCCATTTCTTGGAGATCTTGAGTTGAGTTGTATTGACCAGAATATTGACTCGACTCCGGTCTGACCCGAGTCACAATTTTGGCAACTCGACTAGGGTCTCAACAGATGACTAAATGACTTGCCTCGAGCCAGTGCAAATAAATGACTCGACTCGATTCGAGTCCGTCATCAGAGGACTCGACTCAAGAAGGAAAAGGCTGGTAACGCTCCGTAAATTTTAGAAACTTACGACAGAATATATTTGGGTGATGTTTGCTTCCTTCCTGCGTTACTTTCTGATGTCCCCTTATCCATTCCATTACTCTATGCCCCCAATTAGGTTTCGGAACAGAGAAAAAAACTACAGTAGACATTGATAAAAAGTTGCACTTGAGAAACCCATCATTGTTTCACCATCTTAGGACCTTCTCCATTCAACTTGGGGGGGTGTGGGGAGGTAAGCCGATGACTTCGGGGAAATTTTCTACCACAGATGATCACCACTAAAAGGAGTCTTAAGAATATTAAGTCAATGAAAAATAAAACACTGATCCACAATTTTCACAGATCTTTTCCACAAACCGTCCACTTCACAGAGCTGAGCATTTGAGAATACGTAATGTATGAATCGCGATCTGGTTTGCGCAGCTAGTTCTATGCAGCTATTACTTCTCACCGCCCTTACACGGCCTTTATATCGGTTTTTTTAATAATTTCTCTTGTAGATTGTCCGATCTGTTTTCGCTTTAAAAAAATGTTTGTTTGAACGAGGTTGGTCAAGTAGCAAGTGCGCAATGAATCAATTACCAATTCATGCCACCCAATGCGTTGCAATGTTAACACTTGAAATGGGGCAGCTCAAATCCCCATAAACCAGGGGCTAGGAAATCGCTTATAACTGTGGCTGCCTTGTGGCACTTCCTTTCCGGCCTCCTACTAGTCTACGTAATAAACGCCCCTTTCGACACGTCTAATATATGCGTGCAGATCCCACGATTAATTATGCAAGACGTCCGCCTGATTTTGACCAATCAACTGGCGTCTGCTATCCTAGGGCAAGTTCGATCATGGACCACTAGTTAACTTGTGGTTGGAACGTGACGTACCAAGCTCATGTGCAGTGAAGTTGAAGTGCGAACGACTCTTGTCAAGCGTTGTCAGGCCGTTACGCTGAAGGGTAAAAAAGTTTGCCCCAGGAAGGGCAATATAGCCCCCAAAAAGTGAAAATGGTCATTTACTAGTATCATACTGTTTTTCCAGCATTTGTTTTGTAACTGGTCTTCTCTGCACTGGCTAGTAAAAACGATTTATGGCAACCAACGATGCGAACTCGATAGGCTAGTCGCGAATAGTTGACTAAACTAGTCCGATTTGTCGACTAGCGCGCGTTCGATCTCAGGTTGTCAAACTATGGTTAAATATGGTCCTTAATCTAACTTGCCCCTAACTTCGGCTGAAAAAATGGCACCTGCAGGCTTCTGGCTGAATCCACTTGAGCTTATACGCTGAAGTTGATCAGCTCATAACACTGGAGTAAACACTACACACTGACAATTGTTTGCTAAGTCAGCTGACAAAATTTGACCGACAACCTCCGTCATTATCCGGACAGTATGACTTTTTAACTGCTCTGATTGACTGATATTCTGTGGCGGTGGTGCGGTAGAACATTTTGAGATTTTCATTGGCGAAAGTTGGTCATTTCATTAGCCAGATAACCATAGGATTTAACGCATGTCTTCTTGTTGCTGATTAATATAGCACATTTGTCTTTTTTTCCACATGCTACAGTTGCCGTCTTAAAAAGAAAACTATGAGGAGATTGTTTCCTCGGAGCCTAATTTGTAGAGTAGGCCCTATTCACGAGAGCAAGAACACTGAATTTAAATCCATGCATTAAATGTTTATTTTCGCCAGCAGTGAAAACTATAAATAAACAGCATGCCTCGATACAGCTAATGGGAATCTACATATTAACAACACATAGTACAACTATGTACAGTTATGATTACAGAAAATACTTGTTGCTCTAAACAAAAAATGTACATTCTTACGTACTGCCATGCACGATACACGGTAGACTACGGGTGGGTAAAATCGTCTCAATATAGTCATACACACGCTCGTCGGTTAGTGTTTTGATGCAAAGACATTATACTAGACTTTACTACCACTATGTAAAGACCGTATACATTAGTCTTCCCAGTGGCTGGAACTCCTCCCCAGCAGAGAAAAGCGTGAGACTGGGAAACTTTTGGAATGTTATGTCTTGAAGGTAGTTCATGTAGTATTAAACGTATAGTTCAGTACATAAATCTCCACGACGTCATCAAAAGCATGACATCATACAAGCACAAACTGAGGTCGAGACAAGTCCGTACGTCTAGGTCCCAATAACAAGTGTACAAATAATTTTACAACATACACATGCAGGAGGTTCTGATGATTCTTTTAGTCACATTTTGAGTTCTTAAAATACACATAATATGTTGATCACTTTTTCCAAGGTATTAACCAAACATAAACTTCACAAGAATTATTGAACCACCTATACAGGTACTACACAATTCAATCATATTCCAGCAGGCATTGTTTTCCTGTTGTTAATTAACAGGATGTCACCAACGATTTCAAAACAAAGGACTGTGTTTGGCTCAGATTTAGATTTCCATGACCACTTCATCAATGCAACAAGATCATATCATTGTGAATGAATTCCTGGAAGGAATGCCAAGAATCTTCATCATTCTGTTGATTTGACAATGTTGTACCGAGATTCATTTTATCAGGGGTAAAACACACAGAAAAATATTTCATTATAATTTCACAATCTCAATGAATATATGCAATTTAGTCCTTACCTTTTCCTGAATGTTATCACAGGGTATTTCTTGATATACACTATGCTTGGTTTGAATGTAACATACCTGTAAGCCCTTGTTTTACTGACTTGCCTAGATGACTGTTTTGTTCAAACATGAAAATCTAGCAAAAGACTGTCACAGAATGGCTGGAAGACTACGATAAGTTACATCTACAAAGGTAAGCATTGTCTTGAACCCACAAAGTTTATTACATTTAATGTATCCATGTTTTCAAAACATTTTTAGAGTGACTTTGAATGTTGGTTTCCTTCCAAAGATGACTTTAGTCTACCTGTAAATACATTTGCCAAGTAACAGCCCAGGATGCTACAGGTTGATGAGACCAATTACTTTTGTTACGAAAGTGAAGACTGAGTTGTGGGGACAAACATATGTTCCCACACCATATGTCCCCACAGCATCTATGTACAGTCCTCTATGGGCCAAGTACATGTACGTGTATATACACCTCATCAGTGTTCTCATCAGTGACCGAACCAGACAGAGCACTGTGTGGTAAAGTTGGTATCTTTTAAATGACCATTCATCTGTGTGTGTGTATTGGAAATTAATGCTAATGTACTAGGGAAGGCAAGAGTTTATTTTCCAAGAACTAAAGTTGACTGGTTTCACGGAATTCCATATCAATTCTAGACTTCAGAAGAGGGGGCAGGAACAAGTCTTATAATAGTCTTATGATAGCTCCAACATCACCATTTCATATGCAGTATTATGGCATATAAAACCAGTGACAGGTGCTTCTACATTGGAAACTATTTTTAGCATTTTCACATCTGAGGGGGCAATTGCCCACAAGGCATGATTCTATTGAATTACGTGTTGTTTGAAGGGTCTCAAACATTTATGACTACACCAAAGTTTTATTCTAACATAAATTTAATCACAGTCACACAAGTGAGTATGTCCTGGCTGAAGACAAGTTCCATTTTTGTCTGTGTACGTCTGGGAAGTTATTTCTTTTTGGCCATAAAATAAATAATAATGATGATGATTGCAAGGAACACTATGGCAAGAAATACCATCAGTATACGATTCTGAATTATCCTGCATACAAGGGAAAAAACAGACAAAACAAATAGTTGATTACAACTTTCGGCTTAGTTGTAGTAAATCAGTGTTGTGACAGAATTGGAAATAATTCGGACTTGGAATTAATACATACATGTAGTATGATATGGGTTTTGGTCTTTCAGTATGGGTTAGGTAATTTAAGTTACAAGTAGGAAAATGAAAATATTACCTACGCATCATTCCACTCAGGACACGTGAGCTTTGACCAACACCAGCATCTGTCTCGCGTAACTAATGGGAAGAAATGTAATAAATTAATAATTTTATAAGGCCAATCCTAGGCTTACAGATTGTGTTACTGATGGTATACCAATACAAAAAAGGGTACTGTAAACTTCAACAGAGTGTTTAGTCTACATATTGATGTCTGCTCCTTCCACCACATTCGGGATTTCAAAAGAATAGCAATAATTCAATGACCAAATGAAACTCCAATTCAAAGATTTTAAAAATCAATTTCAATCAATCAAAATCTACTTGAGAATCCCTTACTCTTGCTCTTGACCGCTGAATTTTCTCACGGTCTTTGTGAAGATTTTCAAGAATGCCTTGACCAAGTTCCTCTGAAACAAATATCCAAATTAATGTCAAAGTATGGAAGCATTTCCATAATGCATTAAAAAAGTACATGTAGTAATAATAATATAATATCTTCAGAGTGTTTGCTGCATTGTAGGAGTAAGGATGTTAGACTTTGCCAAACTATATGATAGAACCAAAAACTTTCTTCTCTTGCCTAAGATAGGTGCAAAACCAATGCTCAATTCAAACTTGATTCACATGACAGTACAATGACTTAAAAAGTCAAACCTCATGACCTACACAGAGTGTATAAAAACAATGCAACAAAAATTATTTAGAATTTCTCAAAGATTGTGTTAGTTTAACACCAAAATTATCAGTAGCACCTTAAAGTCACAGATGCCCATTTTCCAATGATGTATTATTTATTTGCACACGGTCATGGATGGCAAAGTGGGCTTGGGACCAAGTTTTGGACTTTTAAATCACCAGGGCATCTTATGCTATTGGAAGTTAAGTGAACTTATTAATAATAATGACAACTTACCGTTGTCTTTTGTAGCATGTCTCTCTGCAAATATTTTAACCATTAAGATATCATGTAACGATTCACATGACTGCATTATGAACACATCTGGCCTATTCAGTACAGTCATTCATAGAAGAGAGGGAGAATTGAAAAGGATTTATGCTGGCATTTCTAACTGAATCTTGGTCCCAACTCCTAAGCCCACTTTGTCCCATTGTCCAAAAAGAATGATTGTTAGCCGTTTATTACGTTTTGTAAATAAATAACATATCATTGGAAAGAGAGAATTTGTGGCTTTAATGTGCTTCTAGTCATTTGGTGTAAAACTAAAACAAAATTGAAAAATTTTTGAAACTTACCTGAAGTTGAGGTTTGATTGAAGTTTTACACTGCTCTCTGGAGGTGATATAAGGAATTACATGGGAGACGATTGCGCCAGCGCAGACCAGAATTTAACAAATACACGACAGATCCAGCCTAGATCTGCTTACAATTCAATGGGAGGGAGGGTGTGGATCTAATTCATTATATCACCTTCAGAGAGCAGTGTAGAACTTCAGTCAAACTTCAACTTCTGGTAAGTTTTGTTTACTTTTTCATTTCTACACTGCCCTATGGAGTTGAGATATACATGTAAGGAATTACTCCTGCTATCAATCTTAGTTTCTTCTGGGACTTCAAAGCCAACTTGAGCTGTCCCGTAAAAAACACAAAGAAAACAAAGCCAAGGATAATCATGTTCCTTCCAATTTGTTTTGTTCCGTTTATTGGCAAGAAAAATTTTCTTTCAGAACCACTCAGAGGAGAAAACCTCTTTAGAAGGGCACTAACAGGTCCTACAACTGAGCTCCAATACTCAGAGAAAAACAACAGTCTGCTTTAACATGAAAACAAGAGAAATGTGAAATGGCAGAAAATTCCTCAAAACAAACTGGTTCTTACTCTAGGGTGTTCAAATTTATATAGAAAAAACATGAAAGTTTACATTAAACCCCTCCACCTGTGAGCAAAACATTAAACACATGCCACAAATTACCTGAATTACCCAGTAAGAGTAAAACGTCTGTGAATATACATGTAGGTGGTCTACTAGCCTGAAGTTCATATATTTGCACACACCTGCTAAAACATGTTCTCCTATGGTTGACGCAGATGTCACATCTTTCTTGTAGAATCTTGCAAATGTACCTGCATTTGACCAACCTGCTGTTTTGAGAATTTGTGGAATGTTTCCCCCTACTTTTAATGCCTGTGATGTAGCAGCTGCACGTCACTATGGGCCTTGTACACTGATGTGTCTATGCCTGCTTTAGCCATGGCAGTAAAAATCCATGTTCCAATTGTGGATGGCGTCACATGATTGTGAGGTTTCGTGTAGCTTATGAAAAGCCTGGATTCACCCTGTCTTAAAGGGGCAGTACGGTGAATATTTTCTACCAAAACTCTGAGAATACACAGGCGTGTATCCACTGGATAGTCCAGCAACTCCACTGGAGGTGGGGCATACCCTGGTCTACACTGTTTGAGAGCTGCTGCTCCAATCTTCGAACAAAATTTTGACTTGGTCATTGTCATGGTCTTCAGATCCAAGACTGACAGTGTCTGAGCTCTTACAGCTACAAGCAATGCCATCAGTGACACTAATTTCAAAGTTAGTTGTTTAAGTGATGTGATTTCTGTTTGACTGGAGATAAGGACTGCAAAAATCTTAACAGCACTGCAACATCCTACATGTACATGTATGTGTCTGAATGCATGTACACTGGTACAGGTGGTCTCAAATTGAAAACAGCCTTGACGAATTTAATCACTCAAGGATGCGACACCTTTCCATACTATGATCTGAGAAAGTGCACTGCATGCAGTGTTGATAGCACTTCATCCTAAACCTTGATCATACAGCATTGTGAGGAAGTCAATGACTACATTGACATCTGGTTTAACACAATCAACCTCCCTCTGCTCACAAAATGTATGCAAGGTTCTTGTAGCTACAGGACAATGAAATTCCATGACTTTTCCATGACCGAATTATGAAAATCCATGACCCAACAGGCTAATAAGGCAATTTCTTGGACTATTCGGACTTCTAAATTTGTGAATACAATCCTGCATTTTATGCACTTATTTCTGATAATAGAAATCGTAAACAGCGTATGAAAAATTCCATAACTTTTCCAGGCCTGGAAAACAAAAACAAATTTCCATGACTTTTCCAGGCCACGGGAGTCCTGTGTATGCCACTTTCTGATATAAACTTAATACTGTCGATGTTTCCCTGACTTCCACGCATTAAGCATGATGCTTGTTGCACGTTGGACAACTGAGCCTTTCGGTAGGCTCGCCTGGTAACAGTCTTGCTATCAATCTTAGTTTCTTCTGGAGAGGATGTAGTTTTTCGCTTAACGGCAATGTTAACAGTGTATCTGTCTCGGTAGGAGTACTGATACTTGGGTCAAGAGGTCTGTGAGCAGGGTGAACCAAGGCTGGGATAGCCAGTAAGGTAAATGTACAATCATCAATGCTCTGCACCTCTCCATCTGCACTATCTGCAAAGCTCTCCCAATTACACTGAATGGAAGAAAAATGTAGGCATAAAAATCTGACCATGAATGAGAAAAACTGTCAACAAAGTCAGCTTGTGGATCCTTTTGTCAGGAAACATATCTTGTACATTTAGCATTCAAACGAGAGGCAAAAAGGTCAATTTCCAGGGTGCCAAAAACTCTGTTGCATCTTTCAAAGACTTATTCAAAGACCATTCCCCTCTATAATTGAAGTGCCGACTTTTAAAGTCTGCTGCAATATTGCAAGTACCGGCTAAGTGTCCTGCTGAAAACCATATATTCAAAGCAACACACCATTCTCACAATTCTGAAGCAAGGGCACTGAGGTGTGGTTGTCTTCCACCCATGTAATTGATACAGGATACTACTGTAGTATTGTCTGACAGTAAGTGGACATGTTTTCCAGCAATTCCGTTTTGAAGGATTTCAAAACAATAAAATGCTCTTAAGAGCTCCAAGAAGTTGATGTGATGCATTTTTTCATTTCTAGTCCACTGTCCACCTGTTTGGGTCTCATCACAAGTTCCACCCCAGCCTTCAATTGATGGATCTGATATCGGGGATATTTATGGGTTTTTCATGGCAATGGGTTTCTCTTGACCTATAACGTTGGTCAACTACCACTTGAGATCCAGTTTCATCAAGCCAGTAATTGACATTTGTACATCACAGTTCCCTTCACTTGACAGCAAAGCTCCATCTTTTGCATATTCCAAGTTCCTGTGGTGTAAAGGACCAAAAGGTACTTGCTGGAAAACAGGCCACTAAACTCCCAATGACCTTTGCTACATTGCGTATCCTTACTTTTTTGCATCATATGGTATTTGTGCACATCTGTTGGATAGTATCTACATGTACATGTACTTTGTCAGGAGGTAATGCCACAGTCATTGAGTCTGAATCAATCACAAATCCCAAGTGGGTTAATTGCTAACAGGGACGTAGAACTGATTTTTTCCCAATTTATGACAAGTCCACAATTTTGTAGAGTTTGCAACGCTTGTGAAACAGATGCTTGTAATTCATCCTGCGTGTATGCACCAATAAACATATTATCTAAAAATCCTGAGATATTGTTTCCTTCCTTCTCCCAATGTAGCATACACTGGCTTCGTCAACTTTGTATATTTAAGAGGGGCGCGGAGAGCCAATTTGGCTAACAAGTACACTGAAACACTTTGCCATCCCAGAGAAATCTGAGGTATTTTCTGAAATATTCATGGACTGGAACACTGCAGTAAGCTTCCTGGTGATAGCAGTTTTATTGCTATGCCAAAGGTTGCCATTTTAAAGTGGATGTATTTGACATGTATGTTGAAGTTCTTGAGGTTTAAAATTAATCAAAATGTTCCGTTTTTCTTAGGCACAAGAAAAATAGTTGACAGATATTCCCCATCCATAGGCAACACTTCCTCAACAACTCCCTTTTCTAACCGCTGTTTTCTCTCTGTGTTCATAAACATTTTTTCCTGAATATTGAATTTTGATACAGGTTAGCAAACCTGTTCTGGGACACTACCTTCAAACACAATAGTACAACTTGTAACCGCTTCTACGATCTCTGCATCAGAAGCGATTGCTTGACGTTGTGTTACAAAGTGTTTCAGTCTTCCTGCTTGAAACCGTGTGACTTCAGAATCAATCACAGCGGCACCAAAAGAAACTGAGACTTGTTGACAGCCTACCTCACCTCGAGGTGTTCAGCTCCAGGCATTCCCACGACTGGAAGCTCTTTTTGTGGTACCTCGTCCCTTAGGGTATGAATGGTTAGGTAGTCTGCCCCTGTACACCGTACCATGCTGAGATTGGGCCAAATCTTGATGGGCCACATGCATACCCATAACCATCAAAGTGCCCAGAGTACTGCCTTTGTGGACCCTTGGGGTATGATTTACCACTGCCACTCAGTTGAAGTTGGCTGCTCCGCTTGATGTCTTTAGTTTCTCGACATTATCCTTCCTTTCATACAGGTAATTGCTATGCTGAACGTTAGTGGGGAAAAAAGTTGCTGTATTTCCATGCAACATCAGGCATATGTAATTCACGTCTATACCGAGGCAAGGGCTATGGTATGCATGGCCCAGCATAGCCAAACTAGACCTGGCCATTGTGGCCAGGTCATCAACATATTGTGTTCCAGTTTCCTGAAACTCTGATAGAAGCTTATTGGCCACAAAATTGTCTTGCTTCTTGTTAACCAGCTTAGTGACATTGCATCCTGTCTTCACAACAGCTGTACAAACAGCTTGAAGCCTTTCATCAAATTTCTTTGTTGGGCCTTTCAAAAGACTCCACGCTAACTCATCAACCTTCACTGTGATTAAAGCTGTACAGTTTTGAGGGAGTAGAATAGCAACCGTATTCTTCTTAAACAAATTGCACTCCATATCCGACGCGAGCATTTTGTTCACTCCTTCTGGCAACGGCTCAGCTATTGGCAGCCGGTATCTTCTTGCTCAGCAATGTTCAGTTCATTCAGATATTTGTCGACTTAGGATACGATCTCTGGATCGACGAAACCGCGGTACAATTGGCAACATTGCCATGATCAGATTCACGAACTGCCATCATGGCTGCCACCCACTGTGTCATCATTGCCTTGAGAAGCCTCGTTGGGGTCACCACACATGTCCGGTGCAACTTCATTGTAATCGTCATAATCATATTCATCCTTATGGTGCCAACCGGCATACGCACCACGCATATCATACTGCGCCGGAGAAAAATGTCCTCGTCATAGTAGGACCAATACCAACGAAATCTGTTCTCATGCGGTGCAGTTTTGGCAGCATTTAGTTTACCAACTTCATCAGTTTATTTCAGCACGTTGGACGTTAACAGGTTGATTTTTTCATTTAGTTTATTAACTGCTACCGCAGTCGATTTTGTCGGGATTTTTATTGCACATGTAACTTTATATGCAGGAGTGCTGGTTTGCTTCTTGCTGCGTAAGCTAACATTTACTTGGGAATTTTCATCATCTTTCCCTTTTTTTTCAGGTCGCCATCGGCACCCAAATTACCTTTGTCATTTTCACCACCCTTGACCATCTGGCTCATGAAAGGCAAAACGCATATCAAGAAATAATGGCCCAACGTCAAAATCTTTGACTGGGCTCGAAAAATGTTTGTCTAGTCTGCCCAAGAAATTATAGCAATCTTGTCTGCGCTTACGCGATTGTCTCCCAAAGAATTCCGTTATCACAACTCCAGAGGGCAGTGTAGAATTCAAAACCAATTTTGTTGCATTTGGTTTGATATGCTCTGTATATTAATCTCCAGTCATTATTAACCTTGTTGGGTTCAGCATGGTTAGGGATAATAGACTGACTGTAGGGTATGGTACATGTACGTACATGTTTCTATTCACATTCACCTGTTTCTATCATAAGTACAGGTATACATGTCCAGCCATTGGCAAATATTAATTGATGGCCTGTAAGGTCTGAAACACAAATTTACCTGTTTCTATCGTCATTCTGTAACCAGCTTCCAGTTTCTTGCCAGATCTCTCTAACCTCTCTGTGTTATCAAGTAACCTTGCTCTCTGGAATAAACATAGTGAATCACAAATACCTGTACATTGATACAGCTGAATGTGACAAAGCTATATGTTTATCCATTATTATTAAACACTGTAGGGAGGGACTAACCTGATCTTCGGAGTTCCTTGGATCATCTATTCCTAGAAGCTCTTCTCTTGAAGCATCCCCATCACGGAATGCTATCTTGGCTTTCCTCTAATGAAAAGTATGAAAGAAAAACAAAGGCTCCATTTGTTAATTTCTTGAATGTTTAAAAACACCAATGGCATTTGACATTTGGAGTGAGGCAAACGTATTAAAGTGACCATGTACATGTACAGTAACTGTAAACCCAAGGTGAATATTTATTTCAACATTTGTCACATTCATGTAATGTGCACGATTTCTGTGACACACAACACTCTTAAACTCAGTGGGCATACCAGAAATATAAAAACCTTTATTTTATTTCAGAATTTGAAAGTTAAAAAATTTACTTGTCTACTCAATTGCAAATGCATTTATGCTTTGACCAACGTTTGTCAAAATACACGTACAGTCAACTTTCAAAAATGAATACCACTAAATGAGCACCATTTTTAAAGCCAAAATTTGGGGGGATACACATGCAGGCAATTTGGTCAAGTTACTTACAAGATCTTTTTCTAGTCTGGTAAGTTCTGCTTCATAACTTCTCAATCGAGTACTGTATTTTTGCCTATCTGAAGATGGTATGGTTCGCACCTCTAGATCCATCTGCTCAAGCTACATATGATAAAAGAAAGAATGAATAACAACAGAATAAATAATGACCCATGATGATGCAGAAGCAGGGCTTTCAAGCAATGATACAATCCATTATCTAAGGTACTGACTCTGTAAATGACCATGCTACGGCCCTGTTTGTTTCATCACTGACACCAAAACCTTCCTGATGGATACAGTGATCCAGCAATGGGATCACTGGTCGAGATCTGAATCCTATGAAACAAACAGGCCCTACATTCGTAAAACTTCTCATTAGCATTTTTTCTTTTCAATGATAAAATAATATCTGTTTTCACGTACATGAACCTAACACTTGAAGATAAAAATATCAAATGTCAGCTTCAGTATACATTTACATGTACATGTACATGTATATGAATAATAACTTGAAGGTTTGAAAAGCATCAACGTGGAAATAAGCCATCAGTCAATTACTTTCTATTGTTATTTATGCTATTTGAACTACCTGAAAATAAATACAAACACAAACATGCACAAAATCAAAAGATTTAAGTGTGTTGACTTGGCTGTTTGTATTTGCTTGGTTTTACCCTTAATTTCACACACCTCCAAACATTGATTATTTGTTACACTACAACAGATGGGTGGGTTAGATAACCTGATAGTCTATCTACATTCAGAAAAATCAAAGTTTGTCGCAAATAATATCTTCTGAAAGTCTGCATTAGTTAACTGTTTCCCTTTGTTTCATTTAGAAATACTGGTGCTATTTCCAGCACATGCTGATTGAACACAGTTTATTTAATCAATTCAGTATGGAGTAAACAGAGGACTTAATAAATAAAGTTAGCTACAACCTGGAAGCCTAAGCTGTCTAACTGGCTCTATACAAATTAAAAATAGATCAGAAAATGTATCAGCTTCTGACTTTAGCGGCATGTGTATATATACCGATTTACCTAATTAAACTCTTAAATTTCACAAGTGTAATTGAATGTCTGAGTGTAAATCTTCACTGACTGAAGGCTCATAGGCAAAAATGAACAAGTAGGGGATAATACAATAAGTCCTATTAAAAATCTGTTTGAGTTGTATTGAATGGAAACAGATCTTGCAGTAAATGTACTTGTAGTCAATTATCTAAATGTTTAAATCTACTTGACGGTAATTTGTAACATAAAAGAACATACATTTCTAAATTAAGGGTATACACATTAATTATTCAAAGAAGATTCCAGTTGCTAATTTTGTTCAGCATTGGAAGGAATTTTACTTATATCATTAAGCATTGGCTACATTTTTACACATCCTGGTACAGTTAATAAATAGTAAGATAATTTTCTTACCAGTTCTCTTGCCTCATCAATCTGTCTCTCTGCTGAACTGCTTAGTTGTTTCTTTTCATCTAAATGATACAACAATGACAAACAAACCTAGTAAATTTCATAAAGTCGTGATGTCTACAGAGGAAACTTGAAAATACAGGTAGTCAATGCTGAGGCCAGGTCCTTCAATACAATATAATCATAATTCGACTACTATCCCGGCTTTCGTACTTCAACAAATCACCACAGAATGATTATCACAAAATTTGCAACTTCACATGTATAAGTATATACAATTTTAACTTCAATACTTCAAGAACAATTGTCCTTCACTGAGAATTAGAAAAAAGCACCACTCAACCGATAAAGGCAAGACGAAAAAAGTACAAAATCAACTGACAGTGCTTTATCAAATAATAGCACCCAACAAGGAAAAAGGGCAGTAAAATAAACACAGCAAAAACAATGGGGAAACAGCTTTACAATTTATGTGTAACACAGATAGATAAGGGTACTCAAATCTGGCATTGTTAACAATGAACAATAACAGATAATAGCCTGATTGAACACATCCAAAAGTTTTGCAAACCATCAAATTATGATTATGAGTTTGTCATGTTATATGTAAAAATATGAAACAAACATGACACATAATATTAGTTATTTCTATTACCGAAAATGGGTCACTTGGGAGACATTCCCATAATTCAATATTCCCTAATCCGATCTTAACCAAACTTTGCATGTTTTCCTTTCAGACCCTAATTTATCATCTCTCAAAATGTGGACAATAAAAATTTTCCTCCTTTTGGTAGCTGGAGCATTAGGGAGACATTGAAATATCTCCCTAATGACCGATGTCTCCATAATGTTGAAAAATTTACCACAAAATGTCTCCCAAGTGACCTATTTGGAAATATTTAATTCTCTAAATGTGGTTAGGCCTACTGTGGTTATTACCACTGTTTAGTGTTGAAATACCAGTTTTTAACAGGGCCAGGGCTGTTTTACTTCCAGTTAACTGTTGTTACCTGATTTGCTGAGTGTAAGACATATGGGCAATAGACCCCTTGTAGCCGGTACTCAGTAACCGTTACTTTGCAATGGCAAGGAACCATTGAAAAACATGACGTGCAATCCCTGTATTAAGTACAATGTAATACTAAAAATATACATGAACGTGGTCATTATGATGATGAAAAACAACTGCATGATGATGACTGAAGCCTGAATGAACGACATGAGTACAATGTAAGTGAACTTACTTCCAGTTAACTGTGGTATTTTGTTGATTTTGGTCGTTATTTCTGCGGAAATGGAAGCAAACTGATGCTCAAACTCTTCCATAGCAGCAGAGGCCATTTTGCAACTTCAGTTGTCTTGATCGTCAAGCGATTGCAGTACCGGTACGTCGAATCAAACTTGGATACAGGGAGCCTCCTGACGGAAAAAAGCTACTGACTATTTACAAGAAAAGACCGTATATGCACGGTCATCGTCTGGCATATCTTAGGCTTGCAGATGTGAAAATTTACCGTTTTCTAACCTATGATTCTCCATGTTTGGACAAAATCTACAGTAGCCTACTCACGCCTACGGCTTCCCTATATACATGTATATCGGTGCGATAAACAGACAATTTTTTAAACAGCGCCCTCTATCCATTAATATGTCTTTCTTTCTTTCGCCATCTTGATTCAAAGCGGCTGCGAGCCGAAAGAAGTGAGGAAAAATATCTTGATTCATCCACATCATTGCTTTTCTTAGGGAGGATATTTTTTCAACATCTATTGTATAGAGTGGTATAATACATAAGGAACTCAATTTTCTGCAATTTAGTGGCCATATAAATAGATTTTTAATAAACTTTATCAGGCATTGTAGAGTAACTTTCACGCGGTTAGCAATTGCGTAGGCCTAGGCCCGGCTGTTCCCCACAATGAAAAAAAAAATCACTGGTCTTCCATGGATATTCTAAATAATAGTAGGTCAAAGGCCTATTGAAATGTTGAAAATGCAATAAGTTTGAAGTAGGCTAGGCCTACGTGTAGGCTTTAATGTAATATAGGCCTACGTACATGACGTATGGTCCTAATACTAGATCCTATGGAGTTGAGGTTGGTCATATTGCTTGGCATGATGCATGATTGGCATTACATTTAAGCCTAATGTACCTAGGCCTGTTGACTGACGTCTGTGTCCTCATAGTCGCCAGGTCCCTTGTTTTGTTACTCACTGTGAAAAACCAATCGGAATTGACAATATGTGGCAACTATATGTGTACGAAGCAGAATTAAAGATCAGAACATGTTTTCTGAGAAACGTAATGCTTTTTTAAAAGTTAAATTTTTTTTAATCTAATATTTTTTAAAACAGACCGTACTTTGAATTTTGAATTCATTTTCCCAAACCGAATGAAATCTTTCGTACCTAATATATCTTTTTTGGATGAAATTTTACAGACCTAACAATAACATGTTTTTAAGATTCAAATGAAATTTTTTAGATGTGACATGTTTTTAAAATACGAATGAAATTTTTTGGACCTAATATGGTTTAAAGATTTGAGTAAAATTTTTCAGACCTAACATGTTTTGAAGATTCGAATGAAATTTGACAGACCTAACGTTTTCCAGATTCGAAAGCATTTTCCACGACAATTTCATCCGAATTCAGAAAGCATCCGAATTTCAAAAGCATCCCAATTGAAAAATCTGCATTGAGAAAGCATCCGAATTTAAAAAGCATCCGATCTTTTTGACGGTGTTTGACCCGATGGTACCCGAAGTTCTGAATCTTTTTCGACGATTCGGCTGTGTTCGGTATGTGCATGCACAGTCAAACTATAGAATAATTCCCACTCCCTTAAACAATCGGGCAATCAATGCTATAAGTCCCAAATTACGAATTAAGACAAGGGACTAAATATATACATAATTTGGATGAGTTTTCAATTGGATTGCTTCCGGAATTCGAATGCTTTCAGAATTCGGATGCTTTTTAAAGTCGTATGCTTTTGAAATTCGGATGCTTTCTGAATTCGGATGAAATGTGGGTGCAGAACTCAAAACCTTTGGCAGTTTATTGTTGGGGAAAATGCATTCGAATCTGGAAAACGTTAGGTCTGTCAAATCTAATTCAGATTTCGAAAACATGTTAGGTCTGAAACATTACATTCGAAGCTTCAACACGTTAGGTCTGAAAAAATTTCATTCGAATCTTAAAACATGTTAGGTCTGTAAAATTTCACCCAAAAAAGATATATTAGGTACGAAAGATTTCATTTGGTTTTGGAAAATGAATTCAAAAATTCAAAGTACGGTCTGTTTTGAAAAATATTAGATTAAAAAAAATTTAACTTTTAAAAAAGCATTACGTTTCTCAGAAAACATGTTCTGATCTTTAATTCTGCTTCGTACACATATAGTTGCCACATATTGTCAATTCCGATTGGTTTTTCACAGTGAGTAACAAAACAAGGGACCTGGCGACTATGAGGACACAGACGTCAGTCAACAGGCCTAGGTACATTAGGCTTAAATGTAATGCCAATCATGCATTGACTTTTAAAAAAGCATTACGTTTCTCGGAAAACATGTTCCATATTTTGTACTCTATTTCTGCTTTGTTCATGCGCAAGCCTATGCTGTCACACATATTACCATGGTTACAATGTATTCATACCCATGAGAAAAGAAGGACATGTACCTTAGTAATTTATTCCAAATGTTTCTGTATTAGTCATTGAAAAACACTGTGAAGTGGTAAAGGAATTCTTTCAGCATGTTCAGTGAAAAAAGCAAAAGTTTTGAAAATCTGATGTTAGCCTTGTTGTCAATTTGCTAGCCCTGTTGATGACTGTGAGTGTTGCCTGAAGACTGACTGGCCCAGGCCCTTGCGGCATCATTGACCAAGCAGCCATGCTTCACTGTGGGGCAAACATTTGTACACATTTTCGCATGCTTTACCCCTGTGTAATATTGTAGTCGAACTATCAAAGCTTCTCTGTCCTCCTTTTCCTGCTCTCCTGTGCACCTGAAGGCATAAGGCTGGTGGGACAAACATCTCTGACATGAAACAGCTGTCGTCTTTTTCGGGCAAGGCCTGGTAACCTGCTGCACATGAATGTCAAGGTCACAGAGGGCGGGAAAGATCATTTTGAAAATGAATTCAGTTTGAAGTGGGCTTAGACTGTTGTCTAGGACTGCAATGTTGAATCTTCGAATGTTTGAGGTGAGATCAGCCGGAAAAGGCAGAAAAGGAAACAAATTAGTACATTCAACATTCGTTGGGGTTCAAATGTGTGCAACTGTTTGTGTTGCAGCAAAGCATTTATTGCTGTTTGGCCAAGGATACAGCAAGTTCAGTTCGTTGGGAAACATTTGCGGGACTAACTAGATGTGACCACAATGTAAATTCGTCTTTGTGTGCAGAAATATTGAAGGTGTAATGAAGTGCATCCAAGATTAAAGTAGTTTTTCTTTTTCTTGTGGCAAGGATCATTATGGTTCAGCGTCTTCATTACAGACGTAGGCACTCCTACAACACCAAGTCTAACAAAGTTAAGATTGTCAAGACGCCGGGAGGTAAACTGGTGTACCACTACCTTAAGAAAAAACCTTCCCCAGCTAGATGTGGTGACACTGGAGTCAAGTTGATGGGGGTGGGTAACGATAGTTAACAAAATGTACACTCTGTCCTTTATTCCGGAGTGTGTGCAGACAGATTGCTTACCTTTTTAATCCCTGTTCAATCTGATAATTCAGTGCATGCCACTGCTCTGTTACCTTATTTTGATAAACAAGTTTTTTCCCCATGTACTACAGTAAAGCACTCTTTGAAGCATTTTATCAACAGTGATGCATTATTGATACTGTTGTGGCAGTTGGAAGCAACATCTGTGGGAAAGTTTGGACATTGACCATTTGTTGACTGCTGGTTGATCTTTTTGGGGGCAAGGTCTGGTAACCTGCTGCACATGAATGTCAAGGTCACAGAGGGCGGGAAAGGTCATTTTGAAAATGAATTCAGTTTGAAGCGGGCTAAGACTGTTGTCTGGGACTGGAATGTTGAATCTTTGAATGTTTGAGGTGAGGTCGGCTGGAAAATGTAGAAAAGAAAACAAATTAGTACAGTCAACATTTGTTGGGGTTCAAATGTGCAAAATATGTGCAGATTTTATCTCATAGATTGTTACTAGAGAGAAGGCTAAAATGGTCAACGCATAGTTGTTGCTCAAACTTGTTTCTTGTGTTGTCTCTTGACTGAGTTTATTTGAACTTTAATGTTGTGTATATGTAGGTTGTGGCAGCTCGACCAAAGAAGCTGATGTCTGTTCCTCGTCCCAAGAAGCGTGTTACCCGAGCCTATGGTGGCTGTCTTAGTGCTGGTGCAGTCAAACAAAGGTATAACATCCCTCAACTGCGGAAATGGATTTGAACTTGACAAAATGCTACAAAGTTGTAAACTGTGCTTTAACTTGAGAATAGATAGTGAAGCCAGCAACAGACTTGTATACTTTTTTGATTGGCCCTCTGAATAACCTAAATCACTAGAGAGTAATTAAATTCAACCTTTTAAAGTCAAGCTAAAGTTGTGCAGCATTCATTTCTTTGTGGGCTGTAAGATCTTTGAATTAATTTTTATTTAGCATTTGTAATGCTTGGTTTTTTTTTAGGATCATCAGGGCATTCTTGATTGAGGAGCAGAAGATTGTGAGGAGAGTTCTTAAAGCACAACAACAGGCTAAGAAGTGAAAGTTAACTGCTGAAAAGCAACATTAACAACAATCCTACAACGCACTTGAAAGCAACAGGCAAACATGCTACTTGTACTGATATACATGTACGTTGGATTCAATAAAAGCAGAATGTGGTGTTAAAAATAAGTTCTAGTTTATTAATTTCATACACAATCTTGTTTTCTTGTTCAACACTAACCCTGTCTGTTGTACAGACCAAAGGAAGGAAGAGTGTTTCTGGTTCATCCAATACAACCTAGAAAAATCACTCAAAAACTACCACGTACATCTGTCTACTCAAAAATTTAATAGAAACAAAGTTGAAATGCCTGAATTCCGATCAATTGCTGTACACAGTGTCTTGAATAAAGAAATACTTAAAACTAAACAGCGGCCTCCTATGGTGTTTTTGCCAACAGTTACTTGAAATCTCAATTGAGATCTTTGTCTCAAGCAATGCATTAACAGTGCTGTAGGATTAATGTTACTGAATTAAATCTATCGGTCTTTTGTTAATTGTCGCACGAGTGACAGGAAATAAGGGTATTCTTTCTTTGGCTTGTCTTGTGTTATCACGTCCTAAGCAGCTTAGATGGTAAGATGTTGGACTTGATGTATTCTTGTGATCTCTCCCCTGCATCCATTCCAAAATATGTTCCAAATAGAAAAACTCAAGCATCTAGTATACTTGAGTTTTCGGCACTTTATTTACAACTCAAGCGGGGTTATTTTTTGAGGGAATTGTCTCCTGTAAGTCACAAGATTCCTCAATTAAATTAAAGCTTTTTGGTCGAGCTTTGACTCCTGGTATATTTCGTTATTTTCCCAAGCGTTAGCCCGATGTACTGCGGAGGGGGTAAGGCGCTGGTTGCGCGTCTTAAATTATACGGTTTTTTTTCCAGTGTGTACTATCTCCATGGTGAAGGATGCAAATAGAGTCCATTTTGTTCGTTTGTGACATTGATGAAACTTAAGAACTACGTGGCCCTAGCCCTGCTTTGATCACAATCCTTGCTCTTTATTCAACGAGAATTTTACACGACGGGGCTATCGATGGCTGGCCGCTGTTTGTCTTGAGGGCGCTACCCAATCGTGTCGCTAGATTTCCACGCGCGAGCTCTGTTTTTTATTTGCAGGGACTGGAGGACACCTAGTGATCAATTTAATATGTTGTAAGCCCAGGCATGGGCGTAAATCTGGGGGTAGGGGGTATATTCTCTACTTGGGGGTGGGGGTGGACTGTCAAATCACACCCCCAACTTTTTGCGGTGAACAAAAAATTAAAGCGCATTGGCACGGTGAAGAATTTGTCAGACTCCCGACGGCTAAAATGCATTCAATTTCACTATAAAAAGGAAAACAGTTTTTAAAAGCCATGAATATGCCATTCTGAATAAATATTACAGATGTACATAAACATCATGAACATCAACCTGTCTACAGGGTCGTATGGTGTCAAACCCGCTTTTCCAATTTTCATGGTCAGGCAAGTCATCTCCTTCCACCTTTCCCCACCCCCACCCCCAATTTCTGGAACAAAATTACGCCACTGATCCCATGGGTTGCCACAATTGGTGACAGTCGTAGAGATGTTTCTATAAATCACAAACCTGGGTTTCTGGATTCCATTGAAGCTTGGGGCATTTCTTTCGCAAAATTTCCAACTTGTGGACTGAAATTGGATACAGGCCTAGGGACCGGCCAGAATTAGAAAGATTCAGCCTGAGACCTGAGCGCAGCGGTAGTTTTTTGTTTGGGAGGTATTTTCGGGAAAGGGCGAATAAAAAACAGGCGAACTCTTATGAAATTGAGAAGAAAACTGAGCTTGTGCATGATCGTAAACTTTAATTTTCAGAGGAGCAAGCGAGGCCACTATCTTCCTGAGGGTAACCTGCTGCGCTAGTTCTGTCATATTGTGCAGTTTTCTGTGGACGCATATTTAGTGTAGTGCAATCCTACGTCTAATAAGGTAGTCTGGTTTTAACAATTTACACTGAATCTGACTATTCTTATTTGATTCAAGGGTTCCGGTATGACGGTATCAGCCATCGCGTGACTGACAAACTCCAGAATTCCAAGATCCTATAATACATCCATTATGACTAAATACGTTCGTTTGGCATTCGAAAATATATAAAGCGCCGCAGCTGTTATTGATCAAAGCTGGTTTTTCCATACTGTTCAGTTGTTTTTGTATATACATGTATTGATGTCAAGAAAACTTCTTTCTTGGGTATTTCGTGCTATTGTATATTATGTAAAGTACACCCCAAACTGAAATAAGTAGCTTCCAAGCCAGACGGGGCTTCTCCGGTGATCCCTGACATGTTGCGTCATGAACTACAAGTCAGCCGTAAGCGATACGTCACCTAAGATCTTATCAATATTTGTTAGGAATCCTCAGGTCAATAGAGAACCAATTTGAATCCACATGAATTTCATGTTGTAATCTGCTTACTTGCAATTACCCCTGATTAAGTATCTATCACTTGGAACTACATGTACATGATATCAAAGTTACACTGCAAATCTAAAGAGAAATGACGTTTCGAATTGTCTTTCAAAATGTAAAAACATGATGTAGCTTCTTCCGAGTTGAAGGAACTTAGCAGAAACTAGTGATGTAAAAGGACACATTCTCTATGCTACAAGTGAGGAACAACTAGGCACATGTCGCCCTTAGTGCCCGTACTTAACTTATAAAGATTTTACTACCTATCATTTAACATTCACAATAGTCCGCCTCCGAGAGTTAGCAACGCATTGGCCAATCACAACGCTCGAAACTTGTCAACCCCTTCTAAACGCGCATTAGGTCGACAGATTTCGTGCATCGTCGTTGGTCAACGCGTTGCGTACTTTTTGAGGCGCATTATTGTGAATCACCCCCATTGAAAAAAAATGTGTGTATCCCGTCCTGTGTGTTCATAAAAATAGACTCCACCGCTTTTATACGCCGAGTTGAAGACGAATCTTCCAATAAGAATTAAGTTACAGGTTAGAACAGACTCTAAGGTGATGCAGATAAAATTAAGACATGCTAAAACGAGTTGAAATAATCACTCAATAAAAACGAAGTCTTTAAAAGTTATATCAAATAGTAATACGTTTTCTTATCCCGACGACAATGTGTTTTAAAAGTCAAGGCATTTTTTCTGCACTTGAAGTTGCATGTAATTTCTTGCCGAGTCTATTCGCAAGTTAATTTTCCAGAATAACTTCCTGAGTCTCAATTCATTCTTTCATATGCTGTTATACTGGTACTCTTTTGGACACCCTTTGGGACCTTGGTGTATGACAGTTTGCAAAAATGTTACCTGCTGACTTAAGTTTTCATCATAATCATGCTCACATTTGGAGTGACAAAACATCAGTGTCATGAAAACAATTTTTGGAGAAATAAGTGTAGCTCTTCACCAAGGCTTAGTCGAATCCATCATATTGACTTTTGAATGGGCGTATAGTAGTAGCGCCGGTCATTGTGTTCATGAGTAACAGTTAGTGACAATTTAAAATCGTCAAACTTAAATGTAACGCTGAGCAATATTCGTGTGATCGACTCAAATGTTACACTGGACAATATGATATTCGTACGATTCCCAGTCTGTTCCCTTGAATATCCGCTGACACCTGCAGGAGCGGAAAAAAAGCAAACTTTAATATCATTTGCCACATTCTAACATCGCGAGAAGTAATCATTTGCCATGCGTAAAGACACGGACTATTTAGTTGTCAGTTGATCTTAAGTATACAAACCTGGGACACATGAAAGGCTCCATATCGCGTCGTTTTTTCCCCGCCTTCCCTTCCTCCACACCCAGTAGATTGATGTTTAACCTTTGACCTTCTGGTTCAGCCTGGATGATAATGGCTCCAGGTTGGGCCAGCGTACAGGTGTGTCCACCCACATGGACAACAGTCATTTCCTTACTGTCCTTGGCCACTGGCTTTATTAGATAAAACATTATGCAATTTGTTTTACTAAATCTATCAAACTCATCTACTGCAGAACAAATTGTTTTCTGTCACAAAAATAATGTTGAATTTCGGAATAACAATCAAACATTTGAGCGTTTTCCCACCTTTGATTTACGATTTGTCTTGTGGGGCTTGACCCCTCGGTCCTCACTGGGTGGTTTGTACATTTGTTCCTTTGGACCTCTCACAGGCTCCGACGATTTTACCACACCTGGACGTTGTAAATCTCGTTCATATGCCTACAAATTGACAAACAAATTAAAACATTGAATGGTGCAAAAAATTAACATCAACCAAAAGTTGGGCTGTCCGATCTTTTCCAATAAACAAAATAAATTGCTACCTTGTTTCGATGTCCGTAGCCCTCAAGGCGACCTTTACTTTTGCCAAGTTCACGCTGCAAATTTTGCAATTTATCCATAGCCCTCATCTTGTCTGCATTCTCCTTCTTAAAGTCAGATTCAAACATCTGATTCTGTGGATCAATTAAACGTCAAGAATCAGGATGTTACAGTTTGTGAGGAAAATCTTATCTTAAAGTGTAGCTGTAATGAATTTTTCTTAGTCACAATGATTTGTTTGCAGTTTGCCAAACAGATGGCATCTTTGTTCTTTTCTTCATTGTATGTAAACTCTGCATTCCTATTTGGTTCATCACAGTTTTGCTCATGAATATAGAAATGCGTATTAGCATAAAAGCAAAAAGACATTGGAATGCCCTTTGAAATAGTGAAACTAAAGTTGAAAATGAGGTTCACTGAGGTGCATTTTACAGGTTTGTAATCAAAAGCCCCTCCACCACTTTAGCTCCAAATATCAGAGATATACACTCCTTTTTCTGGCCACTGATTGTTTTGGGCTAGACTGACAGAAGGAAGTGGTAATACAGATTACAGGTTAAGCGTGCACGGCCTTTCAACATCATTTTTTTCATATAAAATGCCTAGGTGAACAACAGCCACAAGAGGTATTACTAATGTTACAGGAAACACACTGGCAGCTGGGAGAGTGAACCAAAAGGACCGATCAGTGGTTTACAGCAGCCTAGAAGGAAACAACATCACGAAGTGGAAGGCAGATGCTGATGTACATGGCGTTTGAAGGACTGGGAATTTGTCATTGTAAATCAGGGTTACCTTTAATGTTTATAAGTTGTTTATCACATAACATTACAATGGATAGAAAAATAACACGTGTACACATTAATGCCCAGTAAATATTACTGTTTTACATTCGTAAGTCAGCACTAAACGGACCCGTCCATAATACCTGCTGCCGGAGTAACTCAACCTGCTCTTTCAACTCTTCTTTGGTATAACTTCTCTGACAAATGGCCTCGTCGTGTATTTCATTGGTGCCTTTCCAGTTTACTGACGCAGAGGCACATGTGCCGTTTGCCGGTTTTCTGCCTGCAGGCTGTGTTGTCTTGTTTGGGGATATCGGTGCACCAGTTTCATGTTTGGATATTTTCCCAGCTGCAGGCACCTCATCCGTAGGTGCTGAGAGTGGTAATGGTACGAAGGCGGAGCATGACTCGACTATTGGGGGAGGTTGAGTGTGAGACTGTGGTGCTGTTGGATTAGCCTCAGTTTGAGGAGATTGAACTTCTTTCTGGTCAGCTTCCCTTGAAGTGTGTGGCTGGAGTTTTATCAGCTGAACAGGTAGGGTTGGGGACTGCCTAATGTTCGGTTTCTGCAAATGTTTTCTTTCAAGAGCCTGCATTAAAATTAATGTGAAACAACGTTCATAATTATTTTTCTACCAAAGCCATGAGACGCATGCATGTTCGGTCTCAATGCACAAAAACTATGGTTATAATGTCAGAAGCTTGTGTTATTCCTTAAGAGTGCTAATTTCATACCTCTTTCAGGCGTGCAATTTCATCAGTCATGTTCTTATTCTGCCTCGCTAAATTTCGGCTCAGTTGGTCTGATTTTTCGGCCCGGTTTCGTTGAGAATCTAGCTGGCACTGAAGTTCCTTGTTTTGCTCCTTCAACATGCATGGAATAAAGATAAGAAGGTGAATATTGAAAGCATGAAAGAAAGAAGTTGGCTAATTTTCGGTTTGCCATAAATTGCAGCCAAATTCGGAAACCCTGATTTTAATGTTTGATTTTACCTCGACTTTATCAATTCGTGTCTTTGCTGCTAGGAGCATTTGATCATACTGGTTGGCCCTCCTGGTGGCTTCCATACTTGCTTCGTCGATTTGTTTCTGCAGTTTCAAGATTGCCTTATCTTTTTCCGCCAACTGCGTGACGAACCTTGATGTTTGCTCCTTACAAAATCTCCCCCAATCCAAGTTGACCTTTTTAAGCTGCATAATAGTGCCACAGAATAGCAAATAATCAATATTCGTCTAGGGTTATTAGAAAAAACTTCACTATTAGCGAATCTGATCCATAGACACAGTTTTTGTTGTTTACATCTTGATGAATATAAAGATATAGTGACACGTTTGACCAGTGTGATTGTGCGTCAGTTCACAAAACCTAAAATTGGCATTTGTCTTTACAAAATACATGAATTCATTTTGTTCAACTTCCTTTCAAGATACTGTACATTATGAGTTGAAAATAAGTATTAATCTTGGATGCACATGCAAACCTCTTTAAGTTGACTTTGTAAGCTGGATTTCTCTTGCATAACTAAAGTCTTAACTGCAAAGCCATCTCCAGCATTGGTGATAGTGGTTGTAGACTTCTCCCCCCATTTCATGACGTCACGGGGCGTTGCCTTGTCAGAGGCGGAGGATGTAGTAATTGTTGGGAGTTCCTTTAGCAGTTCTTCAACTGCATCGATATCGGTAACGTCCTGGTCAGCCTCGACCGCTGGCTTTTCATCATTACCTTCAGGCGTCGTTCTATCTTTGCCTGCCTGGTTTGTTATTGGCCAAGTCTTTCCTGTATCTTCGATTTGGACAGGTTCCAGTTGGGGATTAGTCTCTATTTCATCTTCTCCTACATACATGTATTGTTTCTCATTTCGGGGCTTTTCTGCCCCTTTCCCTACATCGCCAATGAGGCCCTGGCTGTCCGCCACTTGATGTTCATTCACTCGATGTTCGACTAACGTCTCTCTTTGACACGCCTTTTCGAGAACATTTTCCGCTGTAGGCGAAACATCACTTTTCGGTGGGACCATGAAACAGGGCACTACTTCAGAAAGAAATAATAATCAATTAAATGTAAGAATGATACCAGTGGCTACTTTTGGTAACATCCTTTGACAGGGACTAAGAGGATTTGAAGTACTTCACTTTTAAAACTGGCAAGAAAGAGTTGATTTTTGGAAGACTAGGTATAGTGCACGGGTAATATTACAGAATAGACCTAAGTAAAGGGCGTTGGGGTCAGTCCATAATTCTCATCGTTTTCATAAGTGTACAAAAAGTAGACTTCACTACCCCCTCCCCTTCCAAAGTGTACAACAGCGGGCATGATGATGGATGGAGAGGTCCATTGGCCTATGAGTCCCTATTGCCGATGCGCAGTGATAAACAGTATTGTGGTTAACAGAAATGAAAATTTCAAATAAAACATTGTTAAAACAACACCTTAAAAGTTAAGGCTTAAAAAGCAGTGAAAATTGCAAGAAAGTCGTTCACTTTAACACGGGGTCTATTTAAATTCGCTCTAAAAAGAATATTCCTTCACACGAGTATTCGAAAATTAAAAGCAGGTATTCGATTTCGTTATTGAACACTGTTTCTGGAAACATGTTCATTCAAAATCCAAAGGTCGTTTGGTTGATTCACATTCGTCTAAGGGCTTAGAAAGAGGTTGATCAGGCATTCGAGTGAGTCAATACGCAATCTCGTTTCACTCGTGGTAATTCAAATTCGCTCCATTGATAAACTCTTTCTGGATCCTGCACAAAATCTGATTTTCCAAGGAAAAATGTTTAAAACGAGAGCTTTTTTTCAACGTAACTTTGTACAAATATTGTGATGGCCTGATTCTTACAGGAAATTGAGCATCGAAGGGTGGGAAAAGCTTGTTAACGGTTGCAGAGAAAACGAGATTTTTTCATCTTTTTTTTCGTTTTTTTGTTTTAAAATGTGAAACACAAAACGCACAGCATCAGTACACACAAGAAAGAGCAAAATAAAAATATTATGATTTTACTCAAGAAATATGCATAGATACAGACACAAAATAAAGGATACACGGGAATCATTCTCAATCAACAAAACAATGATTATGGAACAAGAATATCACACAGAACAACTTACAATGAAAGACCGACGGTATATCCAAGATTCCTAAATTGAACACTCAGAACGGGAAAGAGATTTACTCTAAACGGAAACGAAATTCACGCGCAGGTAAAAAATCCTAAAGCGTCGATGAAGTTTAATTTGACTGCACCTAATGGAAAAATGGAGCAAAGATTACACTGAAGAATTGCGAAAGTGTAGAATGCCCATAAACGAAGTACAAATTCGGAAACGAAACTGAATGAATGAAGCTAAAAAAACTGTGTGCACGAAAACAAATTTGAATGTCAGAATTTGGAAAAAGAACTCCAAGACAAACCAACGGAAGCGTAGCTTCTGTGCGAATGTGAATACGTGATGACGAAAGTGAGCGGATTTTCGCTGAATTTGGCTAGGAAAACCTACAGTAGGCCTTTTCTGTTCTATCCTTTACAGAGGATAGAACAGAAGTTGCTATATGGCATAAAGGAAGCGGCGCGGAGATACCGGTAGCTTACTTCCGATTCACACGTTGACAGATCATGATTTTTCATAATTTATTCGGAAAAAGCGTACACAAGGTCTTAGCCCCCTCCCCGTACGGTTATACGCTCGTGAAAATGATGAAAATTATGGACAGCCCCTTACGAGTGCTACAATTTCAACCAAAGCCAACTAACACATAAAGATGTCATGTGCTAATTTGATTCCATGTACAAATGAATAACATTTTGGTCTTCAAACCGTAAGGTTAATTTTGTCTTGGAGAAAGACTCTGCAAAGATCCCAACATTAAATTCTCCAAGTTCTACGAGCCTTTTAACCCTCTCAATGTCACCCCCCACTCAGTATGTATAACCGCGAAAGATTCCTTATAATTCGATGTATTTGCTTTATTTTACCCAAGTATGAAGAGTCTCGAATAGCATACCTGTACCACCATCGTCACTGGGATGAACAGTGCCAGAGCTCGGTACTAGACCTTCATTGACTTGCCTTTGGAGGTATTTTACTTCTTTCTTCGCTTCTTGTAATGCACGACCTGAGAGGGATAGTCATAGAATGAATTGATAAATAGTTTTTTTTTCAATTTATTTTTAAGATGGCGTGTACTGAGTTGATTCTGTGTACAAATGAATTACATTTTGGTCTTTCAACTAAAAGGTTAATTTTTATCTTTGAGAAAGACACCGCTAGGATCCAAACATTACATGTCACCCTGTGACAGTAGCAAGCAAACAGTTCACGGCAGTTTTTGTATTACACATTTTCTGAACTTCAAAGGCCCAAACCCAAGATCCCCCTTATCAACTAAAGAGTGTTATCGTATCTGCGTTGCAAAACACATAGGACTGCATATTACGGTCATAATAGCTGCAAACGATTTTTTTTCTGGAAACAAAAAAGACGTCATATCAAACGTTTCAATTTACTTACGTACCTACTACCTTAACACCCCTGACACACCGCTTTAGGCGTTGGTTTTCCTTTACCAGTTGATCCACTTCATATTGCAAGTCCTTTAGTGTCTTTTCCTCATCCATTTCACTGTGGTCTGTTTGTTGGTCGTTACATGCAACTCAGTGACTGTTTCATTTCATTTCTGTTGAGGAAAGACCACATTTTGGAAGCGAAGTATAGACACAACATAATGTAGGCCTATTATAAATAGTACTGAATAGTTGAACAATCCCTTCTGTTGTAGTGCATTTCGTAATCTTACTGGTCCAGCAAAATGAAATAGGAGTGGAATTCACCAGTGATCGGTATATACATTCCTTTTTCCAGCAATCATGCCCTAGAAATAGTCATCCCAAAAAGTAGCGTAAATGCCAATTTTTAATTCTTACGATATCCTTTGCGTGCAACCGCTCAGAAGGAAATATTCCCCGGCAAGAATTGTTAAGATTATAGGCTGCATGCTATACCCACAAACTGTATGCCTGCTGTTTATTCTGACTAAAATTTCAACATGTATTTTGACAAGAGAGCATAAATTTCATACTATGTTCAGAATTGTGAACAATATTTAATACTCTAACGTGTAAACTTCATTTAATGATTGTGTTTACACACTACTCCATCTGAACAAACCAGTAAAAAATTGAAAATGATTCCAGTGTTGTGGGAGTATAGTTATGTATAATTCACTGCAGCGATGTCAGACATAAGTAACAGTATGCTTTTCGAAACATCATCGTGGCTCAGTTAAGTTCATGTATATATGGCAAAACGGAGGAAGGAAAAGAGAAACTTACCGTATTTTGCTGGACTTACTGTTAAAAACAGTGAGCATGAGCATTGAACAGTCTTCCTGTGAAGTTGCGTTTCTAATGGTAATTCCAGCCCGCATTTGCACAAGCGTCTACGTGTCACATTGTGTGGAAAGGGGAATTACCCTTGGCACCACAATACTCTTGCGAAATCGAGGGATTTTTTAACCTTGTGCAATAATTATTATGACACACTACGAAAGCTCATTAGTGCCATTTTCAATGGTCAACAATAAAACCCCCCAAAGTTTCTAGAGTTTTCATTAAATACATGTGTATTGGTTGCAAGGTTTATGAGATGTACTATTCCCAAAGTTATTTTTGGCCCTGAAATGAGTAGATATTTTTAAAGCTCTTTTTCACGAGGTCTAGTTTTCGTGATATGGTCACAGATCTCACTGTGAGCGAAGCACGTCATTGCTGAAACTAGTCTTGATCGAGATTCATCATATGCATACGAGCAAAATAAGCCGAAATTTTGTTTCAATGACCTTTTTCAATTTTAACTTTCCACTGCCACTTCTTAAGTTTGAAACGTCTGAAGGGGCGCATTCAATGAAATACACACCCTTCCTTAAAAGGAGGAATGCTCAGGACCACCACTGTACATGCAAAAACTAGCAGAAGCACAAAAATGCTAACATTTTGTGTTTATTACGCCTTTAACGCCGAAACAACAAACTACACAAAAAACAACAAAGTCTGTGTGATGCAACAATCAAAATTAAGCACACATCTGAGTAAAATGTCGACATTTATACAGCAAGTATTCCAACAGTTGCAAACTCAAATCTCACTTTTTTCAATATTCACATGAAAAATGAAAAACATGTAGTGTGTAACTTGATTTGTCATAAGGTCATTGATCCGAGGAAAACTGACCACAGTATGAAAGCATTTTTGTTCAGTATTTAGGTTAAAATGGTTTCTAGAGGTTGGGGGCAGAGATTATGATGAGCGATCGGCAAAAAAACACATACATATTGATAAACTTGGTTACTGTAAATAAAGCCGTATCATATCTGACAAAGCAAGCAGTTATATAGCAAACAGTGCAACTATCCTGCTTGGTAAATCTTAGTTTATTACTGAATGTTGAACTTTTCTTTTTAAATCACTAAGAAAAGGTTTGTGGGTACAGCATGTGAAATCGATCTCTGCTGTAAAAATAGTAGTCCTGAGAAGAACTGGCGAGTGTAAACTCAACGTTTTGACCATGATGCTCTGGTCGTCCTTCTGTTGTCCTTCGGAGGACGACAAGAGTGCCCTGGAAAAGATCGATTTCACATGACATACACGCAAACCTCCTCTCAGTCTAGCTCCAGTATGTTAATTTTTGTGTCTTACTTATCAGTCGTCATGCTCAGTTTCATCACCGAGTACACCAATTCAAATACATGTAGTATTTTCTCAAGTTTCTGCGTAACATCAGCATTTTTATTCGTATGAAATATGCATTATGCTAATTAACCTGTTTACCAAACAGGATGCTATTTAATACATGTGCAACACTTTCATTACAATACGTGTTGTATTCTGTCACTATCACGAAATAAGAGCAGATATAATTAATTAATACTCAGGCCCTACCTGGTGAAACATGCAATATTCGATAATTTTGTACTTTTGTTTCAAGTTACTTGATAATTCTTATTTCATATTTCTCATGACCTGAAACGCATTCGGCAACTTACATCACTCTTCATGCCAAATCGTTTTGTGCCCAAAACTAAGTCAAATTTTGTCTCACCAGAAAAGGCATCTGAAAAAAAAAAGACTCTAAACACGAATCCTAAGCCTACACACTTATCTATCATAAAGTAGCTCTATCAACTCGTAACGGTTTCAAAAAACATTATTGGAGTAGTGGTGATGCACATTTCTGCGACATCAATCTAAATCTATCTGAATCTTATAATGCTATTATTGCCTATACAGCTTTTCTGTGACAATACGTAATTCTTAAAGAGTATTCTCAACAGTTAACAGTTTCTTTACCAAGTTTTCTACGTCTCTACAGATCTTCATAATAAGAGTCACTCCGACACTTCATGACGCAATCTCTTTCGAAAACGTTGCGCAAGAAAAACTTACAAATTCAAAGTAATCACTACAAAGTTATCATTTCCAAAACCTGAAATGAAAACGTGTAGACATAAAAAACAACCCTCAACCATTAGTTCTCAAACCAAGTAACAAAGCAAAATCTTTTTGAGTTAGTCAATAAGAACATCAAAGAAGTAAATATCATTCCAAACACATTGAAATGCCCCGCACAGCAGCAACAACTCAACATGCTTGGAATGAAAACAATTACGTGTGTACAATATTTGAAAAATAAAGCAATAAACTAATAATGTAATAAATAAGCTGTGAATTCTTGAAAAATGTCTTTACGACCTTCGGAATGAAGAATTTTCTTGACAACTTTATTGTAAGTTTTCTTAAAAAACGTTTTCCTTTGATTCCCCCTTTTGATCGTGTATCAACTCATACACTAAACTCAGCTTTAACTTGAACACATTGTAGTTTATGACAAACTTTTCCTCACCACTTCAAGTTAACTTCTTTAAAGCTTTTTTGAAAATTTTTTTCTCTTTTCAATATGCTTTTTCTGTTTCACCTGAGGCGAACATTTTTTTCTGTATTCATCAGCTTAACTTTTACACATTGTACCGACTAATCTTGAGGTTCTGAAATATACCTGAACTTTTGCACATTTTAATGGGAAGTTATCAGGCACATGTAGATAATGATGATATATGATGATAACAAACATCCACCAAAGGTATTTTTTAGCAATGAATAGGCATAGCAAGCATGGCTTATACATGAATGGAACATCTACATGGAGATTACTAATTCAAAGAAAGTATTACAACTTCACAGTGTTTTCAACATGAATCATTCAATAAAGTTCATCTCCATGTTATCATCAATGTAACATAAAGGACCAATGTGCAAAAGTGAAACAGTCTCAAAGTATCTTGTGAATGAATATTCTCCAAAAATTTGCTAATATTTTTGGAAAATATTATCACAGAAAGGACATTTTCTCCTCCGTTGACTCAACTTCGTTTAAGCCCTGTAGTTGAGTCGTTCATCAAGTTATCACTTTACTCACACTGAGTCATTCACATCTCAGGAGAAGGGTTGCGGTTGCTCTTCCTGAGATTTAAATGACTTAGTGTGAGTTGCTAGGATGTCTTGAGTTATGATTCAAGATCAGTTACTGAGACAAGTACTCTGTCACTCAATCTTTAGTTATCCAGACAGGTGTTGATGTGAACATGGTAGTCTGGGTCATTGTCAAAAGTCCTTTCACATCTAATGGAAGAAAAAGTCAATATAAAAAGAATTTAAATTGAGAAAAAAGTGATTTCAAGAAAGGAATGGTTAACATGATGAAAAAAGTTGAATCAACCAACATGTAGTTACAACAGCATTAACTGATTAATTGAAAATACCAATCAATGACCTGAATTGACTTATGACTAGACTGTCACCTGAACTTACTCAGGCTATGACTACATCATGATCTTACTGACTTACGATCACACACTGATCTGAGCTGACTTTCAACCTGCCATTTAACAGACCTAATTTCCCAATTTGATCCAGTGTTGTAACTAGTAAAATAATTTCAACCAGAAACTTCTTTGTAGCATACTATGAATTGGTCTGAGGTGACCTATGAACCGACTAATGAGACACTTGACAAACCTTAAGTATGGTCATTTAATGACTTGAACTGACCTTGGGCAGATCCGGTTGTTCTGGTCATTCTCAGTTGGGTTAGCATCACTGAATGCTTCATTGAATTCCACACTAACTCTTGGCCCGCCATCCATCTCAACATCATCACCATCAATGTAAACATCATTGGCAGCTAGGTTGTAGGTTCGTCTGCCTTGGCCATGAGGAATCAGCCGACCGGACTTTTTCAAAAAGAAAACGACAGTGAGGATGAAAATATTTAAAATGAATTTCAGGTTGTTCTTGCTAAATTAGTGCTTTAATGTTGAGACAAAAATCAAATAATGTAATTAATTCCACTGTTTCAGTAGACAAATACAATGTATTGATCTACACTACTTCACTCTTTTATGTCAATACCGTACTACTTTTTTTCATGGAATTGAGTGCTTTGTATAAAATGGGGTTCTCACAATCATCAAAATGTACATACCTCCTGTGGGTACACTGGTCGGTTGTGTCTAGCTGGGGGTTGTTGATAGACAACATAGCCATAGTCATGTGGAGGGGCCTAAACATACAATGTAGAATTCATCATTTCAATGGCATTTGACAATCCCTGTCTTCTTTTGTTAGATTTCATTATCAGACACTTTTTAATTTTTTAAAAATGCATGACTAACACCAACATTCTGATATTTGCCTAAAAGTCTGAAATACCGGCAAATGTGCAAAATAATTATTGTGCTGTATTTTAAAGGAATTATCCAGTATCTGGACATGTCAGGCGCAATAATTTGCCCCTTTTCTTCACACAATTGTTTTTTTTGCAGCTCCACTTGGCTCTATCTTGACAAGCCTGGTCAATGATTATCCTGCGGAATTTAAAACTAACATGAATGGCTATTTGGATGAGTGAATACAGACCGAAGCTGAATAGTGATGACGATCACGTTGCAGGTGAGTCAGTGTTGGATCCTGGTACACTACCTGCAGATAGCACAAACAACATCCTAAGTAATTACTTGTAACTGGCCTTTCTTTTAAGTTCTTGAATTTATCTGTAAGGCAATGCTGGCCTGATAAAATCTTGTTGTCTTACCTCTTGCCCACATTGCTTGAGGAGTTTCTTGGTTCGACGGAGCTCTTTTTGCATGACATCAAGTTCCCCTATTACACGCTGCCGGTCCTGACGCTCATGAGTGAAGTCTGACTGGAAAACTTCATTCTATATGTCACAGAATTCAAAATCTATTGGTATATAAAGGAATATTACCATTCCTGATTTATGAAAGTACGTCACATCAGGGAGTCAAATGGTTGGTTATCTAGAATACTTGGATGTCGATGACTTTTAAACAAATGTGTTTCCTAAATCACATCAGATTTGATGTTTCTTGTTTATATGTGGCATCAAATTATAAATTATAAAGAAGGCTGCAAATATGTAAAGCTTCATCATGCAATGAGACACATTAAACATACACAGTAAACCTTTCAATTTAACTCTGCTACTTTACTGTGAGAACAACCATTTTACTAATTGTCTTCATTTTAGGAGTTCAAAACGCTGTCTTTTCTCAGCTTTTATCATTTAATAAAGTCCCTTCTGTTTCCATGACAATCATTTTTGTCATTGCCTGATGTTATCTGCCATAGCAACTGCTATGCTAATAAGCTGACCTGTTGTCTCAGCAGCTCAATCTCCTCTTTCATCTCAGCTTCTGTCATTTCATGAACTCCCTTTTGATGTCCAATTAGACGAGTCTGGTCATGCTGTCCCTGCTGATGACTGGCTGATGGGGAAGAGGCACGCTGTTCTCTTTGTTGTTCAGAGTAGATTCCTGCTGACTCTTCTTCACTGTTTCTGATTTTCTTGGCAAGGGCCTAAATAAGGTGACAAGGAACATGTCTCTTAATCAGTGCCAGTGTATTCAATGTAACAGTATGAATGGCAATAGTATCCATGTTTAGTAAGCTATGTACTAATATCAGCCCCTTTTTTCTCTCCACATTTTTCAGATACAAGAAACAAAAGGTGGAACAAATTAAGAAAACCTCTTGACTTGTTAGAAAAGTTTACAGAAGTACAACAAAGCATAACACTATAAGAAAATTAATTTTACAGTTGATAATCAAAAATTTCAAGCAGCTACCTCATTCAAGCGTTTGATCTCTCTTTCCATCTCATTACGTTGGCCAGTCAGTGTGCGAGCATAGCGTTCTAGCTTCTCACATTTCTGATTGATGGCAACAGCTTCTGCTAGTGCTCCTGCATGCTCTTTCTGTAAATTTTGGTAGTTATACAAATACAATCATCAGTGATAAAAGTTATAATGTCGAGATCCTTCTGATGTCCTTGGTATCTTTATTTTATAGCTACCTTCTCCACTTTGTTCCAGGATCATATCATAATCTGTTATAATCAGCCGCATTCAAACACTCTATTCACTCGTGAGTGAAGGGAAATTTTGCCAATTTCTTAGGCCCTTTTAAAAATTAGAGCTTTCTCTGTTGCACAAACACTTTACTTTAATAACTTCAGCTTTAAACTCATTCCGAGCCACTTTCAGAGCACTAAATCATGTCTTGACATCTGCTTATAACTAGGTTCCACATTTCATTTCTCTCTTTTATATTCACCTCAGCTTTCTCGATCCTTGCCTTTTCGTGTACCATCATGTCATCTCCAACTTTCTGTTCTTTCTCCAGCATCAATATCTGATTCTTTGCATCATCCAGTTCTTTTTGGAGGATGTTGATACGGGCCTCTAGCTGAGCTTTCATGGTTCTGTAATGCTCATCCCAAGAATGATTCACTTTCACAATCTATGCAATACAAAATTGCAAACCAAACATAAATATCAGTTGAAATTATACAGTGTTACAAACTATTTGGTACTTTTCTGAAATAGTCCTGCTATTTATCACCAAAGACAGGGAGAAAATATGGACTACAAATTATGCCTGTTTTCCATATAACTGTTGCAATAACCGACGTCTCCAAAAGGCCCCCGACACTAGAGGCTGACATATGGAAATGTTTTGTCTGGGATTTTCCCACCTGACGCAAACAGGCAGAGTGACAGTCGGCGAAGTTGAACTTGTGCCAACTATTTGCACTTAGCTGCCAGAGTAGGCCCATACAAAATGTATAATGGCATGACAGGCATACAACATATCTTTCTTGCTCAGTAACACACATTATGCCCATTTTTTCATATTACTTAAAAGTAATGCCTCCAATGTCCAAAAAATGACTACAAACAAAATACATCTAATTGAAGTCACAATTTAGCTTCAAGAGCATCACCACTATCACCACCATTTTCCTGAGTTAAGAATGCCATTCTGTTAAAATTTCTTTCAGAATGACATCACACACCACCTCTTCTATGATTGTCAGCTTTTGACATCATGCCTGCCGTCAGCATTCCTTACGACCATGGAAACCGTTTTCGCTCTCACACAAATACTTTCCCATTCATCATTACTACATTGTGGTGTAATATGTAAATCTAAAATTGATTCCTCCACAATAGTAGGTGTTAACATAAAATATTTTTTGTAGAACCTGATAATAATTTGTGTTTGTTATTTCTTTACCTCTTCAATCTGTCCTTTGAGGGAGGCATATTTCCGCTGCAGGATTGAGTGATCTTCTTCGCTGACTCCTGCTGGGCCTTGTACACTACGGTGTTTCTCTTTTTCCTACAAGAAAAAGACAGAAAAAATGGCATTAACCACAGGCAGGGCACACAATATCTCACATAGTCCATAGTCCATGTGACAGCAGCAGTTTCAATGACCCACTCTTCCTTCTACCTCATTCTTCGACTTGATGCATTTCTTAAAGTTTAATAACATGGAATAGAACAGAATACATATACCAAGGTAACACTGAAGATACCATATCAAAATAATCAAAGTACCTTTTTCTCAGCATATTTGATCTCACAAGCCTCTTTCTTGGTAACATAGTCAAATCCTCCAAGATGTTCATCTTCCTTAGCCCGTTTCAACTCCGCTACTTCCTCCAGTAACTTCCTGTTCTCTTCTCTGATGAAGAAAAGTAATGAAACTTTCTTTGAAGATTTTAACTGAGCACATTTCTCAGTGTCAGACTAATTGTGCTCTATATGAAACTGGAATTAATAGTTTTTCTTTTCTTCAATGAAATCTACACAAGTCATTTAAAGACAGTGGATAGTTTCCTTACTCTTCATCTTTACGAACTAGGTTCAACTTACATGCGGACTGACGTGTTGAGTGAGTTTTCATTACCTACTTGATCACAATGTACTTGCTACAACATAAAACTATGCTTACTTGATGTTATCTCGCTCTTCTTTAATCAACTCAACCTCACTCTTGAGATTTTGGTTCTCCTCTTCAAAGATCCCACGTAAAATCTGAAAGACAAATTATCCACATTTTTGCTTAATCTGCAATTCACAAGTAAAGTTCAAACCCAGATCGAGATCTTGATTACTTCTAAACCAAGGAACTCCTTGCCTGATTTGGAAGGTGCTTGGATATAACTCGGTGATCACTTTTGAGATAATTCACAATGAAAACATGTTTTAAATGGCAGAAGAACTCAGTAAAGTTAATCTTGTTTACAAGTTATGGTCATGTTCATATTAAACAGACTAAGGTGACACTGACTGTTGTGAAAGGTCCCTTCTCCCAGTAAATTCATTTAAGGCAAATTCTCAAAACTAAAGGTTGGAGTTTTAATTTTAATTCCAAGTTAAATGACCTAAAAGACAAACTTATTTGGAAATACCTTTTGTCCCATTAATCTATATTTTGCTGTTTCCCTGCTGCCTAATTTCTATTAACAAAAAAATCTTACGAACCTTTTGCTTGAATTTCTATTTAAAACATCATTTATTAATTGTTTCCAACAGCAAGAAAATTGCCACTTACAGGAAAGGTACAAAAACTAGAAATTGAAATATAAGACAATAAATATATATATGTACTTTTATAAATTCAGAGAATATAGCCTAAAAGGAGAAGATTCAAATGAAACACAAATAAAAGATATATTATTTAAATTACACGTATCAACACTATATGCGACATATGCGATGGAGTAGTTAAATATTAAATGCAGTGAATTTCAGTTCCGGTATTTATAAGTTACTTAGTCTGAGAGCTTGGTAGATTTCGCTACGGAAGCAAGCAAGACTTGCCGCCCCAAACAAATCACACCTCCCATGGAGCCCACTGTATGTTGTAGAGATTCTAGAGACGAAGCCTCTCTTAACAACATCAATGCGACTCCGTGGGATGTGCAGAATGTGTTTGTCAGCAAATCTTGTCCTGCATGATGGAGTGTAAAGGCTAAAAGGAATAGCGTCAGTAACAGTGAAATGATTGTGGAATACCTTGTACAAAAATAAACAGTCATTTACGATAAGTCGGTGAGAAAAATGGAACAAATCTAAACCGGGAACAAAGATTCTGGTAGTCAGGAATGGGTACATCATTGTCGGGACCTAGAGTTTTATACATAAAATAAAGAAACCTGCGTTCTATCTTAGTTGCTTGGTACGGTGAAATAGAGTTAATAGCAATTGTACAGTATTCAAGTTGAGGCCTTATCAAGAAATAGTACAATGTGCCGAGAACATGCTCAACGCGATTAGCCTTCTTGATAATAAACTCAACATGGTGAACAAAGTTAAGTCATGTGTCAATATAAATTCCAAGATCTTTCTGTACACACACTCTCTCTAGCTCCTGGCCTTGCAACTGATACCTGGAAACAATGGGCTTCTTCTTAAGGGTTGCATTCAACTCGCTGTCAAACCAGGGAGGGGAAGGCGACGCGGTCGGATTATCGGGACAACATCTCTTACTGCAGCCTCCACAAAGTCATAGAAGAGAGAGGTTGCCTCATTACAGTTGTCTGCTGCCTCCAACAGATGCCATGGAGCGCATGCAAGTGTTTGGTTTAAGTCATTTAATCTGCCTTGCGGTAATTGAAGACAGGACGCTTGACCATGTGTGGTTTTGGATTGCACCAAACAGGTAGGATAACCTTGAGGGACTTGTGGTCAGAAGCAAAAACTTTGTCTCCAATTTCTGCTACAGCTTGAATACCCAAAGGTTTTCCACATCAGGTTGTTCAAATTCTGGTTTTTTTCGATATTCTAAATCATTGCGGCATCCTAACAGGACACCACCACCACGTGCACCAGTTCTGTCCAAAGGCACTATGGCTGCCACATTGCGCTGTAATTCCCCTAGAAAAAAGGCTGGCTTGGCTGAAAGGCCCATTAGAAATTCCAACACAATGGGGTCGCTCATTCATTGAATGCCAACTGGAGTGTGCACAGCCAGAGTGTAGCACTGCAAAATCCTGATCAAAAACACTCCCAAACTCTTCAGCTGTGCCACATACATCCTCAAAAACTAGACAGGATGAATAACTATTTGTTCCCCCATCCGCCCCTGATTTTACAGCATGGTGTTTCACATAAGTTGAGGCATTTCATATTGCACTTCACTCGTGGAATTGCTCAGAAGGGGAAACACCCCACGAGAATGAGAGGGACTTCCCAATGTCCTATGAGAAATGAATATCAAGTAAACTTTGACGTGGCACACATCACATCCTCTAGTGCAGTACACACGGTACATGTAGATTTATATAAGACGCTGGGAACTAACAAATACAGGTGCGAGTGGGTTAGTTATTCAATTTTGATACAGTAAGTAACCTTGTCATGAAACAGATAAGGATAAAAACCACATCCAAAGAGGAAAAAACCAGCACAAAGGCCAGACTGTGGCTGCTACATGCACTAAAATGGCACCACAGTATGGTGAGTGTGGAGAAAAAAATCCACAAGCCTGAAGAATCTTGGTTAAAACATTGAACAAAACAATGAAAAAATTTGAAACGAACTTGGCCAAAAAAGTTTGAAATACTGTTCATTTAAAAACTTCAAAAACTTCATGGAAACAAAAATTTAAATTGAAGAAAAGACTCTGAAACCAAAATAAAACAATTTCAGTTTGGCAAGAAAACAATATAAAACGTATGTATGATTGTGAGATTGTCATACCGTCTGTGTTTTGACCTTGCGCTCCAAACGGATAATCTTCGGCACAAGTTCTGTCAGGTGAGCCGTGATCTCAGTGGCCACATTGCCTTTGGATAAACTCTGCAGCGCAAGTTCAACATTATGAATCTGCATGGATACCTCAGGACGATCAGGAAGAACCTGGCCAACAAAAACCAAATGCAGCATTAAGTGCCCAACATACTGAACTAAAAAATCTTTCCATATTAATAATACCAAAACCAAGGCAAAGTTCATGGCAAGGAAAGATGCTTGAAAAATGGAAAATTACAATAAATGGTTCATTACTCATCTTTCACATAATTATCCATTCTCCCACCCCCACTTGCAACTAGATTACAACTGTTGGAGTCAACTTCACAGTGCTGGGAATCCAAGCAACTGAATGGAACTTGTTTGGTACTTAAAAACACTGAAAAAATCATGACAAACCTGTCCAAGTCCCAAACCTTTAAATCTGTATGATCTTTTTCACTTGAGGTTATAGGAAGCAACGGTGGCAGCAACAGATTTTACAAGTACATGTTGCTTAAGGGGAGGAAAGGGAGGAGCAAAGATTTTTTTGAGGGGGGAGAAACACTTTTTGGAGGAATTAAGAGATGTACCATATTTTCTAATCAAACATAAAACTTACATGTACAGTTGTAATGTTACTCATTGCACAAGCATAACATGGAATAATATAGTGTCTCACTGACCCATGAGGCCCAAAGGCTGAGTGGTACAAAAAGTCTATGGGAGGCAGACACTTTACATGATAAGAGTAAGCGTTTGCTTGACGACGTCAAAATGCTGTATAAACAAAGCAAATGTCATTACCCCAAATTGAATGAGCATGACATGAATTAAAGGCTCTCAGTATCAGTTCAAGACTTCTATATCTAAATGCTCATATTAAATACCCAATATAATTTCTGATCTGGAGTAAATATAATCTAGACCTCACTTTAAAGCCCCCCTTGCAACAGCCCCTTCTGCAGTTTCTCTCATTTGTTTTTATCACTCTGTCAAATAATCCTAAATCATGCTGTGTTGCTTACATCATGTCGCAATGAAGTGTTTACCGGGTCTCCGTGATTGCTCATCAGATGCGCTGAGAGATGTTCAAATTCTTCTGAGAGGGTACCAATGGATGATGATGATGATGTAGTTGTTGGTCCAGGGCCAGAGGTTGGGTCATCAGGGGATGGTTGATCAGCGTTGGTGTCTTTGTCGTTTGGGTTGCATTCTAAAAATATTCGGTGGAGAAACATGAACACTGAAGTCAGAAACCATTGTATACAGATGTGTTTACAAATTTTGATTGATAAATCATCACTGAGCCATCAGATGATCTTGCCTAATGATCTGATTCAAAATTGCAGAACATTGCTTTGAATAGGAATCAAGCATGAGATTTCCTGCAAGATCAAAGGATTACGCAGTATGACAGACAACTGAATAGATTGATGGTTCATTGGTACATAAATGTATGCATCCATGCATGTAAATGTACAAGTAGCTGTCAGTGGAAAGATGCACAGCCAGATTTTGTATGTACATTACCGGAATCTCATCTAAAGCACAGCCACTTGTTAATCTTTTCCACATTTGACACACAGTCCTCATTTAATGAGGTACATCTTTTACCCACCTAACCTTCCTGGAGGTCCCTTAAATGAGGAGGTGATGTTGACCTCCTTGATGTGATCGGGTCTTGCATCTTCCATCATACATGTATTTGTTTATATGAAGAATTTCATGATTGATGTGTTCTTTCCTGTTGATAGCAGACAATATTTATAACTTATGAAAGCTTTACCTCAAAACAATCGAATGACTATTCAATTTGAAACAAAAGGATCTTTTTATAAAAGAAATGCAAATTGTACTGTCATCCAGTTGCATTTCACTTTTTTAAACACCAGCACTGAACTGATACCATAAAATTAGAAAATTAACTTGTAACTGAGTGATCGCGTGACAATACGGTGCAATAGCACCAGGAATGGGACTCTCTGCAGGACAAGATGGCTTCAAGTTGGGGTTTAGGTTTTCTATTGAGTTCATTTTTTTCAGTGCCCCCAAAAGTTGCAAGACTTATCCTTCTGGAAAGAATTCCATATAAACGTGCATTTACACAGATACCACTGGACACCCTGTGCATAAATCCTCTAAGACTAGTCTGAAAATTCTGAAAATTTTAAGTGTTTTCTGAGCGAATACCTCAGTATTTTCACTGCTAAATTTGACTTTTTTAGGACATTCTCTTGCTTTTAGATAGCCAATTGGAGTAACTGGTTGCTGCAGGAAAAAATTAAAGTGGTGCCTGTTGTACCAAATGGATTCCAACATTGACGTATTTCTTTTTGTGATTCCAGGGTATTTTTTTCAAGCTAAGTGAGATAAATACAGTCTAAAATTGCCACGTGGTCAGACTTCCATTCATGAATACAAATTTATGCACGTCCACTGACAATATGAGCAGTGGCATCAAATGAACATCTGTCGTGCTGAAATTTCTAAGTCATGCAATCATGGCAATTAATTAGGCCTACATATATGTAGCCTACATGTTGTCAGTTGCCGTGCTAGTACAACAAAAGCATATAAAAATGATTCACGTAGTACACGTCTGTTTTTATGCAGTTGCGCAATTTTGTGGTTGCTAGTCGACTAGTCACCAATACATATGCGTATGACGCTTCCTGATTTTAATTTCGTAATGCACGTTCGCGTCGTAGGGCTAACATACATGTACAGTACTATACATGTACATGGCCTATGCCTGGTGTAGCAACGCAAGATGGCGGATTCTAACGTACGTTGTTCCGAAGTTTGAGCCCTGCAGAAATCTCGACTAAAAATATGAGTTAAACCTTTTTTTTTCTTGATACAGTTTGTGTTTAAAGTAACACTACTTACTTTCTCCCTTGTAGCCTCTTTCAAACAAGTAATGCAAGATGTTATCACGGAGAAACCCGTTAAAAATTCACTGAATCATAGGTCTGGCAACCATACAAGGTCTGAAGCCCGCATATGATATGAAAGGGTATTTCCCTTCGGTTTTTTTTTTAACTATGCCTGTCTGGTGCCCAAACCCAACGCCATAATCTGATAACAATAATTGCTGCTGTTCCATTAGGCTCCCAGACTACCATTACGCACTCTGACGGTCCGCCTATGGGGATTTTACATTTGGCCGTCCAATCACGTTCGATACTTTTTGAAAAAAATAATTCATTACTCGGAAACCACCCCATGCTTTCTTGAAAAACATGATTGTACAACCTTGCAAAGATTCACGTAGTACCTGCAGTCGATGGGTTCCGGATTCCGTTGAGTTGACATCACGCAGTTGTTGTCAGCAAAAGTCAGATGAAATATTAGAATCTTTTAGAAAAGTGGAATATTGCTTTATGTTTATTAACTTATAAAGTATCCGAAAATGTGCAAAACATTTTGATCTGTTTTATTTTGTTTTTTCCCAGAGACTACCATAAAATTTCAAACCGTAACTATTTATCTGCGTACGAGACTGCTGTATTGCAGTGTTCTTCATATATTTTAGATTTTGGAAGTGATGGGTCAATTTTTGGCAGGATATTTCTCTTTTAGGTCAGGTAATTTTTCAGTTTCTATAAATTGTTGTACTAGAAAATAGTTTTCAAAGCCCTTTTTCCCAAGTTGGATTTTTTAAGAAGAAACTGAACGAAAAAATATTACATATTCTAAAATCTTTGAACGTTATTTTTCCTATCCAAGGGTTCCAGAAGTGCACCATCAGGGGTCAACTTTCAGCCTCTATATTGCAGTGACCAGGAAATAGAAGGAAAAATATCTACTATTAGATGTACTCAGTTTTGCCGTCGTGAATTTGTAAATTTTGTTTTGCACTTTTACATTATCCATGCAATGATGTTTGTAGTTTTATTGTGTCACCTCAAAACATCAGTTTTCCAAGTCTCTTTACAAATTTGGTTAAGACTGTCCACTAATGTTGACCAACACAGGACAGCTCCCCGGTTAAGTTCACGAAAAACAAAATGCGCTCGTGTTTCATCCCAAGGAGTGATCATGAGATCTCATAAAACACTTTTCTGTGTAAAGTCATACAAGCAATTGCGCAAGCATTAAATTTGAAGTTATTATTTGATCATACCAAGCGCCAACGATAGTATGAATAATCAACCGCCTGTACTGCAGTACACAGCGTTTTAAGGATATGGGTTACCAGCGAAATATTTTTTGGTTGTTAAACAGATGGGGATTACTTTGGGATTTTTGCCCTGCCCGACGTGTATTACAATATTAATACTGTATACTCAGTGTTTGCCCCCGAAGGCTAGTGAAAAAACCCACAAACGAAATCGGTTGGGAATCAAAAAGTGGGTTCGGGGCACACACTTGTAATACAAGTCGGGCAGGGCAAAAATCCCAAATTAATTAACATCTCCCTGGGGCAAATCCATCCTTGGAAAACAGATGGTACATAGCAAGGCGCTCGTTGAGCTCTGGCATGCCAGAAAGTATAGCTTTGAATTGTGGCAAGACTTGTTTTACAGTTTTGGCCGGCGTACCGTGCAGCAGGCGACACGCGCTGGCGAGCTCGAGCACAGCCGAATAGAACAAACAAACAAACAAACAACCC